TGACCTTTGGCACATGAAGATTGCAGCCCCTTTTATACTTGGCAGGGCATAATAAGTGTAAATGTGTCTTTTTATGTTTTACTCATAACTATGTAGCAGTGCAAGAGAGCTAATTTGGCTGGCTCAGATTTTGATTGAGTTATTGATTATATACCATCAACTCTTAGTGGCCACATAGATAGATTTTCTCCAAGATGATCTGTCCCCAGCCTGATCCTTCAATTCCTCCAGTGGTGTATCCATCATTGCTGTAATTGACCATCACTGCTGGTCATCCTCTTCTCTTCCCTTTCTCAGCATAATGGACTTATCCAGAGAGCTAGGTCTTGCAGAATTGCTAAAATTGCTATCTTACTCTAGTAAAGGTTCTGGTGTATGACAGCATAAATATTTTCCATGATGATGGGTTATCTTTTCCAGGGTGACCATGAGGAGTTCAACCAGTGCCAGACACAGTTGAAGTCTCTTTATGCAGAGAATCTCCCTGGAAATGTTGGAGAATTCACTGCTTACCGCATCCTCTATTACATTTTTACCAAGAACTCAGGAGGTACATGGTGGGGCTGTTGAGAGATGGACTTTTGGGGCTAGTCTTTGTAGGGTTTATTTCAACACCTGGGAATCCTTGCTGTTGTGGAGAGTTTCTGCACAAACACTCCCTTAATAACCCTTTTGGCCATGTTGTGATCTCTGCCGGTTTAACCCAAGAGGTTTTACAGATGTTCCCAGACTCTGTTTCTCTTCCTTAAAGCATTTTTCCCCCCCATAATAGCCAGTGCCAGTCACTTTGGGGAACTTTGTTCTTAAAATACTAAAGAAGCTTCTGGGGAAGATAATTTTGAAGACTAAAGTTAATTTAACAGAGCAGGCCAAACCCAGTCAAGGATGCATGTTGGAGCAAAGAGTAGTAAATATTTAGCCTAAGTCAGTGCGTGGTGAAAGTAAGTGAGAAACGGCTTACTTTGTGAGACTTGCTTTTCTCCCCCCTGCAGACATCACAACCGAACTGGCATACCTGACAAAAGAGTTGAAAACAGACCCTTGTGTGGCACATGCCCTTGCCTTGCGAGCTGCCTGGGCCCTCTCCAATTACCACCGTTTCTTCTGCCTGTACCGCCAGGCCCCTTGCATGTCCGGCTACCTCATTGACAAGTTTGCTGAACGAGAGAGGAAAACGGCCCTCAAAGCCATGATCAAAACGTATGTGGAGCTGAACCAGACCTTGGGATGAAGTGGGGGGAGATGCCTCGCACCTGCACGCTTCCCTCCTGCTCCCCCTTTTTTGCAATGTCTGGGAAAGGGGCAGATTAGTATCCAGTAGATAGAGGTGGGTCAAACGGGGTTCTCTTTTCTGCAGCTTTAGGGAAGTGGCTGTGTCCTGGGCAGGTAAGTATGGTAATTGCAGTCTCCTGAGGCAAGCATCCATGATGCTTGATTATAAACAGTGGCTTGGCTGTCCCTCGTGACCAGGTGGCAGGGTCACCGGAACTGTCTTGATTCACTTAGACAGAAAATGAATTCTTTTGCAGAAACCTTTGGCTCTGAAGTGTTGATGTAGAAGTATCTTCATTTGAGAAATGGTTGCAGGTTTATTTGGGTACCTGACAGTAGTGGCTCAGGTGCTGGGCTAGAACTCACAAGGGAGACTGTGAGGTCTAGTCCTCCCTTAGATATGGCAACTGGCTGGGTGAGTCTCTCAGCCCAACCCCCCTCACAGGGTTGTGCTTGTGGGAAAAATAAGAGGCGGGAGCATTGCCTACGCTGGCTTGAGTTGGACAAACAAAGGTGAGATATAAATCAAATAGTAAAATAAGCCATTAGTCAAAGCAAAGCCCAACTGAAAAAAAATGGGGTAGTGGGAAGAATCAGAGTAGACCTAGGATTGTCTTCATAGTTTGTTTTGCCCTTATCTTTTTTTTTAATTCTATACCTGAAGGGACAGACTTAATCTACCAGAAGCAGGGCATGCTGAATAGATACCCTTGTGCTTTGGACGTTCATCCTGGTTCCCTCACAGTCTTTTCGATTGGGAGGGAATCTCTCCATTTGTAGCTCTCCCTTCTTGACCCTTTCCTTTCCCACATTTTGGTGCCCAGCATGCAGATGGGATAGGGAGACAGCGATACCCAGGTGCTGTACCAATGCATGGCCCTGCTGTAGAGATTATCCAGGCCCCTGGTGGTTGGATCAAGGCAGTGTCAGTGGAGAAAGGAACTCTGGAATGGGAGCAAGAAGCAGCCAGGACATGAGAGCGAATGCTCGGTGAATGACTGAAAAGTTAAATCTGATATTTTGTTATGCCTGTGTCTGGCCATGAATAGTAAGTGATCAGGGAGGCAAGAAGAATGGGGTTTGCGCTAAATAAGAATTGTAAGCATTAGTTGCTCAAGTAGAATGCTTGTGTACCGATGTAACGTTCTCTGTCCTGCTTCTTTCCAAAAAATTAGTCTTGTTCACCAACAAAAGTGCCATAGAAAGTAATTCTGCATCACTGGAGGAGGGTTATTTCTCTTCTTGCTTGGGAGGCACAACTGTATTTATTTTTATAAGGCTGTCCCTATCACTGAGAAGAGACATCATTTCCTTTTTCTGTCTGAGCCTTTCCTACTCTGCCCTGATGAGTTAGGGGAGGCTTCTGCTTCAGTGCTAACCCCTTACAGCATTTTCTCTGGTTTAGCTAATCAGTTACAAGGAAAAGCACACCATGCTGATGTATTATGCTGGCAGCACGATCATCAAACACTGAGAAAACAAATCTTGCCGAACTTTCTTTTGAAAATGATCTCCGCTAGATATTGCATGAATAGGCTATCAGCTTCTATTCTTAAGCACCTCAATCTGTTCATCTTTAGTAGTTCTAAGGAGAACTTTTGCCTTTTCTTTGGTCCTCGTTTCAGAACCACTCCATTAAAAGGTAGAAGGCAGTTTAACTCAATATCTGCCATTTCTGTGGTGATGGTGACACTCAAAGCATCTTTGATTGTGCTTTGACAGTTACTAACCTGAAAGAATGTGCAGTCTTCTGTAACAAGCTTCTAAGTAAAAGGATAAAATGATACAATCGTTGCAACCAGCCTTTGCAATTGGGAGGTGAATGAGTGCATGCCAAGTCTGAATTCTTGCCCCACTTTGTAAACTGTAGACCCATAGTCCTGTTGCTTCCCTTTTCAACGTAAGGAACCTACTGAACTCTGTCTGGTCCAGCACTTTTCCCCCAGTGACCAACCAATATCTATAGCAAGCCACCAAGCAGCCTATATTATGCAGTACCTCTTCCAGTATGTATATCCTAACTGCTGAAATTCTGAGATCAGTTGAAATACTGGAATGAAAGTCTTCAATGAGGGTTGATTTTGTTTCCTCATGTTGCCAGAGTAACTAAAGGTAAATAGCTACACATTAGCAGGGTTCTGCATGTCATAGTTTCTAATGTGCTGCCCTTTCCCATTCACCAGTGTCTCTTTTTATCTCCCTCAGTTTCCGCCCGGTGCTTCCTGTCTCCTACGTTGTGTCAGAGCTGGCCTTCGAGAGCGAGGAGGAGTGCCAAGCTTTCCTTGCAGCTCTGTCCCTTGTGTACACTTGCCCCGACGCCACCAAGATTGACTGCAAGCAGAGCTTGGCGGTCCTGGCCAATTTCTGAAAGCAGAAAACCCACTGCCCTGTTCTAGCCTGTTTTAACATGTACATATATATAGAGATATATATGTCTGTGTTTGTGTGTGTATATATGTATATAAAATCAGATACAGTTGGCTGCCATGGGCAAGCTGGGGCCTCGGTCTACCACCTCTCCCGCTGTCCTCAACGCACACGGATAGAAGAGGGTAAGATCCAAGGACATCGGACGGCATCTAAGATCACCGGAAACAGAAGAGCAGAGAGTTCGGTCTAACAATTCTTGGGGTTTGCCAGCAACAGGGAAAGGAGGTTTCAGGGAAGAATAGTTTTGCACCGGTTTACAATCATCTGCTCCCCTCCCCTTCCTCTCATGTCAAGATGCATGAGATGCTAGTTGCAATGCCCCATCTCTTTCCCCACGGTCAGAAATTGCCAGGATAAAAAGTTGGAATCTGTGGATTAATTATGGGAGATGATGGAAATTGCTGCCTTGTGTTACCATCTCTTCATTGTCATAAGGATTCAGGAAGCTAGAAGATTTTCTCCCTAATCCACAGAGCAATCCCTCTAATTTATTTTTATTTTTTGGGTAAAATCTCAGCAGGCACTGTTTTATTCCACTTGACAGATCTCAAAAGGGCACCGGTACATGAGCACATACAGCTCTATGTGAATATGTGAAATATGGTTTTGTACAGAAGCTACAAGTTGTAAATAATACTAGGCAAACTCTTTGTTTCTAAGAGGAAAAAAAAAAATCCATGTTTTTCTACTTTTATAATGATGAATTTAACAGATGGTTTTCTCTGAAGATGAAAAATTCAGGTTTTGCGTACGCATTTTGTGTTCTTTATTATGCTCCTCAAAAACTAACACTGTCTCAGTTTTTTCCTCTTCCGAGCTATGGCCTGGCTATGAAAAAGCTTGAGAGATGCCACCTCTCCAGTCAAACAAAAAACCAGCCTGAAGGGGAAAGAGCAAAGCAAAATCTGTCTTCACATATTTCCTACCAGTTCAAAGACTTTTTCCTACCCAAAGGAGAATGTGAAAGACTTCTTTGTAACAAAACCCTGCAGGGATGTGACAACAACAAATGAAGCATATCCAGTGAAGGCGTGGCATGCAGCTGTGAAATCAGACCAACACACAAGATGATCTTCACAATCTCCTCTTCTATTGTGTTCTGGAGTTGTCATGCTAAGTTTTTTTAATTTATTTTTTTCTCCCTCTGTCCTCAGTTCTTTACAGGTAAACTTGAAAATGCACCACCCATTTTCACTTCCTCTCGTCACATTGTTTCAGTTTTGTTTTAAACTTTTGAAAGATTGTCCAATAGTTTTTTCTGTTGTTTTCTTTCTCCCCCCTCCTTCCCACCCTTAGTCTCTTTAGCTTCTCATAATCCCTTCTTCCCCTCTGTTCTCCTTTGCTCTAACTCCTCTTTCTTTTTGTTTTTGAACATGTGTAATTTTGGGATATTTTGGCTTGGGCTGGATTTTTCAAAGATCCCTTTTTCCTTTTCAGAAACCTGAATTTTTTCCCATTTGATTAAAGTCAGTTTTTTAAAACAGTGCTGTCTGCTTCAGTGTGGTGATGTTCAACGTTTAGCAGAGGCCAGGGGCAGCAGTGACACCAAACTGACTTTTCTGTCTGTGCAGTTAATATTCTAAAGGGTGGCCATTGGTCTGTTTCCCCCTACATCACAAGCCTCGTCATTCCCCAGCCTTGCACATCTCTGCTACTGGCAGTGGGGGCAAAGGCGTTACATATGTGCATCACTGGTTTGTAGTCTAGTCTGGCTGTCTCACGGGAAAGGAATGTTTAGGTTCCAGCTGGACTACGTTTTCCAGCAGAGGAATTTCATGTAGAACAATTCAGAGATTTAGGACACATTCATGCTGCAGTGGATCTTAGTGCAGTGTTTCTGCAGTTATTTCCAGTGTAAAGGTACAGAAACTAGATGTTAAATTGGATTCTGCTTAGGTTAAAAGAAAATATTCTGATTCAAAAGCTCTGATTTGACTGTTGGATCAACATTTTAAAGCTAAATCCCTTTAGTGTTCCACTATATAATTTTATTATACTTTATTGGGGAAGATTGATGAGCTAACGTGGTACATTAACTCCCTGGTTTGGTTTCCCGAATATCATAGATTAGGGCAGTTGACAAGGTCACTACAGATAGCTTCATCATCTGGTGTGGATCAGTCATACAAATGGATTTTTCAGTTTTCCTGGTCATTATCTGTGTGACTTCAGTTGAAAAAAACCAGTTTTCTTACACAACTACAGTTTTCAAACAAGTGACTAATTCACCCATGACATGCATTCAGATATAGTGACAATTATTTCCAAAGCAGGATGTAAGACGGGTGGGCAACCTGTGGGCAGTATGTGGCTATCCAGCACCCTGTCTGCAATCCCCCCAGAGGAAGCATGGCTGGAACGTTAGAATGTGGGGGGCTTTGCGTGTTTGAGAGCTTGAGGCATTTGCTATCATTCTAAATGTTGGCCCAATTTTGCTTCCCCCCCGCCAAAGGTTAAGGGCTAAAAATTACAGCATTGCCTCGTTTGGCGATGGTAGCAACTATAGCTTCTAGGCATGGCATGAAGCCAAAGCACAGCCCCTAGACTGGGAAAGATTGCCACCAGTTAAGAGGATTATGAGTTTTTTTTAATCTACAGGGCAAACACCTTCCCAAATTCAATGCTAGACATGCTGCATGCCCAAATGTTAGCATTTGTATCAGGAGAGAAGTACAGTTCAAAGGCCTTCATTGTGCCTTTTCCTAGAATCATCTGTCTATGGGCAGTAATTGCACAATTCCAGAAAATATGTAGTTCCTTTTTCCCCTTCATTTCTATTTATTAACAATGCAAGAGATTCTATAAAGATGTGAAATGCATACAACCCTATTTAATTAAAGTATCGGAACTGAGAAGAAGATAGTAAAAAATAATGTCTCCGTTATGCATGATTAATCTGTTTAAACCAGGTAAGGTAAAAAGTATCATCTGTGTTACCGTAATGCTGCTATTGTTTGTTTTCATGGTCAACTTTTCCATTAGGGCTGTAGTTAAAGTGCTCCAAATAGATGCTGCTGGGGAATTCTGGGCCGTGAAGTCCACACAGTCCTACCCACTGTCTTTTCTAAAGAGCAGAAGTTCATTTGGAAGATATCTCCCATTGTTTAAGTTCAACTTTCTCCATATAAATCCAATTTCAGTATACTGACGTACAAATTATCCGTTCTTTTGCCTTTTCCTACCTCATATAAACATATGGCCTCTACTGCTTGGGCTCCCAAATCCTGTATTGTAGGAGCCCAAACCAAATCTGATGGGAGTCGAGGCATACCTTTCCTTGGAGGAATCTTCACGATGGTCAAATGGAACTTCCCTTTGGCTGGAGGACAAATCACGGTCAAGCCCTTTTCAGTAAAGGCATCTTCCAAAGTCTGACCCAGGACACCCAACTGGGGTACAGGAACGGGTGCCAAGTAAAGAACCCGTGAATTAAAAGACTCCAATTTATGGAAGGAGAGAAGCAAGGCTGGGGGCAGCAGTCGCTGGAAGCCAGCCTGCAGTTCTTTGAGAGCCATCATCGCTTTGTGGATTTCTTCAGGGGTATCCAAGTGCAGCAGGCAAAGTGTGACATGCAGTGTAGCTCTGGGCACACAGAAGGGAGTGAAGTCAGAGTTGACAGCACATAGAGCTTCTTGGAAATGTTTCACAGCTTCCTGGATTTCTGGGCTGGTGATCGGGATAGCTATGAAATGGGTGGGGCGCTCCTTCAGATAAGAGAAGTGCCTCCCTCCCCTCCTTTCCAAATCTATGTTTTCTGTTTTCACCATCCCTGGTTCATTTTCTGATTTGACAGCACAAGCATGTTTGAATTCTTCACACTTAACTGAGCTGACTGCTTCTCTTTCCTTTTCTTGGCTCACCATGTTTCCTTCTTGGTTGATGAACGTGTCTCCAACCAACTCCAAATTATCCACAGCTTCCCCCAAAGCCATCACTAACTCCTGTCCACTAGCTGTCCTGTTCAACTCTTTCTCTTTGGTTGAATTACCATTTACCTCTTCTTGTTCAACTTGGAGTCTATCTGAAAGACCAGTTATTTCCTTCATAGCCTGAGTGTCTTCTTCCTTCATCACTTCTAAGATGGTTTTTCCACTTCCTGTGGACCCAAAAACGTCATCTGTGCGACTGACTTTGTCCCAAACCACACGGTCTCTGTATTTGAAATACTGGATCCTATGTTTAGGGATAGCCAGTACACCAGGACCAACAGAAGCTAGATCCTCCCATGAGAAAGAAGTAAAAGATTCCTCCAAGATCCCCAAGAACCGGTCAAGGTAGCCAATAGAGAACTGTTCAGCAGGTACCTGTGTATCCCAGAGGAGTCGGGAAATGACATCCTCAGCTGTTTTCATTGGAGGTTTCTTCCCTTCTGTGAGCTGCAAGGAAGGATCACGGACAGGTCCAGGATCTTCTAAATGATGAACATCCCCAGCACCACCAGGATGAAAGTTTTGGCAGCGGGCACCAAAACGGCAGCGTCCTTCCAAGAAAAAGCGACAGGGAGGGTTGATCTCGGGAGATGAATGATCAGTCAATGAATCCGGATGTGCTGATGGTTCCAGAAGACTATCAGAACAGTGGTCAGTGGAGTCCTTTCCAGGGGAGGTAACCAATTCGTCCATTACTGTATGGGAGAAAGAACATTAAAATCAGAAGAACAAAGGCTGCTCACCTCCAGTTTCACTCACTGGCCCAAGGACAGTTCATAACAGATGTTAGAAAAATTATGGGATGAGAGGGATTGTTGAGCTGAGAAACTCATCATCATACCATCTAGGCAGTATGATGATGAATTATGAACCAGGAAGTCTGACATAAAATCCAAGTTCAGGTGTGTACCAATTTTCTCGCATGGAGACTCTTATTGAATATACTACAGTAATGGACGTCAATGAATTATTCTGCCCTGTTGACGTCTCAGGTTGGTTCAAGGAATGCTTCTTTGTCGATGATTCTGGGATTACAGAGATGGAGAAACCAAGGCATTCACTTCCACTGCTAATCGTAACCTGTACTGTATGTCTGTACACCACAGCCTTTCACCCACCATGATGAAATTCAATCCTATTTTACAACATGGGTATAAAGACATTGCAGAGTATTGAATTATTGTTAAACTACTGTCACTGTTTTCCCTTTTAGACCAGTGTTTGTCAACCTCAGCAACTTTAAGATGTGTGGACTTCAACTCCCCCATGGCTGGCTGGGGAATTCTGGGA